TTTCTCGGTTCCCCAAACTCACCCTGTTTCCCCCTTGCGTCTTCCGCCCCCACATGTGTTTGTCTTTCCTGTCTGGGACCCCTCTTCCTTCCCCTGACCTGCTCTAATGCATCTTGATTGGTATGAAACACCTGGGAGCCACCCTTTCCTCAGCTGTTTGTGACCGCTTTATGCTTTGCCCTGTGTTGCTGCCCTAGTTGAGGCCCGTCCCTGTTGGATTGTAGCCTCCGTGAAGGCAGGAAGTCTTGGGTAGTCCTGTTCCCTTCTGGTCTCCCTGACCTGGCCCAGTGGAGGTTGGTGGATAATATTTGTCAATTTGGATGATTGAGCGAAAGAAGCAATCTGTTAGTCTTGTCGGGATGGAAACTGTCTGTCTGTTGTCAGGCTTGTGACTACACCGCAGGGAACTTGTGGTCTCTTAGGTGGCCATAACTTGTTTCTCTTTGTACATAGAAATAGTAATTTTCTATTTTTCTTAATCATTGAGCATCCTGGCTATCTTAAATGTACTTTTGGCTGGGCACAGTGGCTCATGCCTGCAATCCTAGCACTTTGAGAGGCTGAGGTGGGAGAATCACTTGAGGCCAGGAGTTCAGGACCTGCATGGGCAATATAGTGAGACCCCATCTTTACAAAATATTAAAAACTTAGCCGGGCATGGTGGTGTGGGCCTGTAGTCCTAGCTAACTCAGGAGGTGGAGGCAGGAGGATTGCTTGAGCCCAAGAGTTTGAGACTACAGTGAGCTATGATGACGCCACTGGACTCTAGCCCCAGTCACAGAGCAAAACCCTGTCTCAACAATAACAAAAAAAGACTGATGGTGATGAAGACTGTGACCTCCTTACTCAGAATGCTATTTTCTCATTTTCTAGTGGGATTTTAGTGTGCACGGATGTGATGGCCCGGGGGATAGACATTCCTGAAGTAAACTGGGTTTTGCAGTACGACCCTCCCAGCAATGCAAGGTACAGTGTGGTAGGCTGCTGCTACCCTTTCTCTGTCTAGGAATGTAGCTTAACGAGATGGGAATTCTGAGAAATTAAACATGTGTTGTTCATCAGAACATTATTTTAGCTACTTGGGAGGCTGAGGTGAGAGGATTGCTTAAGGCCAGGAGTTTAAGACCAGCCTGGGAAATATAGTGAGACCCTGTCTCTAAAAAAATTAAAAAGTTAGCTAGGCATGGCTGCAGTGAGCTGTGATCACACCCACTGTACTCCAGCCTGGGTGACAGAGTGAGATCTTGTCTCTTTAAAAATAGCAAATATAGCCAAATGAGTGAATAACCCACTCATTTCCCTGGGTTATTCCCTGGGTGAAAGTGATACGAGATTATAGCAATTAAAGGCATTTTCAAATACTATAATTTCTTTCAGAAATTACTGATAGAATGTTTAAATGAAAAAAGCAATACATAAAGCCATATATGCAAATTGTAATTTTCTCCAAAGTAAATATATGTTCCTAATATAAGCTTCCAAACATAGGAAAATGCCTATAAATATAAACCCCCAAATGAAAATAATGATTACTGCTGAGATTATGGATCATTTTTAGTTTATTCTTTATAGTTTTGTTTCCCAAATTTTCTACTCTTACAGCATCTTATCTGTTTGCAAAGTCTGTTTAATTGCCAGCTATTCTGTTTCTCACACTGGTAGGTGGCCAAGTCCACACTGAGCTGTGGTGTCTGGCATCTCCCCGTAGCATTTGAGCCGCGTGGCTGGAGCCTGAGCTGTGCTCAGCGTCTTCACCTGGCCACCTGTTCCCATCCTGTGTCCTCACAGTGCCTTCGTGCATCGCTGTGGCCGCACAGCCCGCATCGGCCACAGTGGCAGCGCTCTGGTGTTCCTCCTGCCCATGGAAGAGTCGTACATCAATTTCCTTGCAATTAACCAGAAAGTAAGCTGTCTTCCCTTTTTACGTAGAACACCCAGTGACAAGGGAGCTGCAGAGTTCTCTGGCATATGGTCAGAAACTTAGATTGAGGATTGCAGACTCACAGGGGCTGGGCTGGTGCTGTCAGTGCAGGACC